TGACTGCATGTCAAGCCCAGCACGTAGCCATCATCGCCGTATTTCTATTTTCTGCATATACATATCTTTTCTATTTGTTCACTTTTCCCATATTTTTCCACATGAGCGACTCTAGACGTGGCCATGATACAATGCGATGGATCATGTATTGCTGGTATAGCACGGACGGTGGCATGTACATCTTTCGTAGCACCATACGTAGGAAATCTTCTTCATATTTCTAATTTTCTACTACGTAGTATTTCTCCGTATTTCGTTCTCTTCCCCGCTTTCACCACTGGACCCAACGCCTTGGGCATCCACCACCCCTCCGCCCGAGACGTCGCCCCCCTCCTGGCGCATCGTCGATGCTCTCCCTCGCCTCCGCGGGGGTCTGCAGGCAGCTCCTGGTCGCCACCAAGCCCAAGAGCCTCGCCGCCCCCCTGTGGCCGCGCCATCTCGGCGACACGCGGCGCGCGCCTCGCGGACAAGCCAGGGCCGCATTCGCCGCCGCCGAGAGGCACAAATTGGTCTTTCTCGGCACGCCCCGCGTCGCTTGCGTTGTTCTGCAGGCCCTCTTCGACGCCGCGCGGCTGCCAGGCGCCAGCTTCGAGGTCCATGCCGTCGTCAGCCAGCCCGATCGCCCCAGGGGTCGGGGCAATAGGCGCGTCTTGCTGCCCTCCCCCGTGTCCAGCCTCGCGATGGAGAATGGGGTTTCCGAGGATCGCCTGCTGCTCCCCGACAGCGCCAGGGACGAGGTATTCCTCTCTTCCCTGAGGTTGATGGAGCCAGACCTGTGCGTGACGGCCGCGTACGGCAATTTTCTGCCACAGGGGTTCCTGGACATCCCAAAGTTCGGCACCCTGAACGTACACCCCAGCCTGCTGCCCAAGTACAGGGGCGCGGCTCCAGTGAGTCGGGCCCTGCAGGACGGGTTGGCGGTCACGGGGGTGTCTGTAGCGTTCACGGTGCTGAAGATGGACTCCGGGCCGATCCTGGCCCAGGAGGAGATCGCCGTCAATGAAGACACGGACGCCATGGATTTGCTGGATCAGACGTTCAGGATCGGGGCTGATCTGCTTGTGGACAGTCTGGATTGCGTGTGGGCGGGCGGGGCTTGGGAGAGGGCGGTCCCACAGGATGAGTCACAGGCCACTTTGGCGCCCAAGCTGTCGAAGGCAGAAGGCATGTTGGACTTCAGGGACACAGCGGTGAGGTTGCACAACCAGGTGAGGGCGTTTGTGCCCTGGCCTGGCACGCGGGCCGCTTTTATAGCAGTAGATCCCAACAGCGGCAAGTGGAGGGAAGTGCAGCTGGGGATAATGAAGACACAGGTGGCCAAGGGGATGGAGATGAGGTCGCTGGGTCCGGAGCCCATGGTGGTTTTTGAGGGGGCCTCGATGTTCATCCGCTGCGGGGGCGGCTCCGTGCTGGAGGTGCTGGAAGTGCAGCCGCAGAACGGAAAGCGAATGCCTGTGGCTGACTACAAGAATGGCCTGGCAGGCCGAACTCTGAAACTGAAAGATGTGGGTTGGTCCAAATCAGAGGCACAGGTTCAGCTATAAAATACCTGTGCGAAATGTTTATTTATTGTACTGCACTGCCCTCACATGCTAACTGTCACTTGGCTTCTGGCATCTCATGATGCCCACAGTTTTCATGGCATGATCTCATGTGCAAGAGGACGTTGCCCCGTTTACAGTCGATTCAATTTGATGTCATTGGGGGAGGGTCGATAAATGTTCAATAAATATCCTTACCGTTGTGTTGCCTCACTGTACACTGCTGTGTATCTCACCATCTAGCAGGATGTCATCAATCCCACATGTGCAGGGACATGTTAGGCAACTTGTCGATTCATCAGCCGATGCATTGGACGATTCATACATATCTGCTGTCTTATAGTAAAGGGTCACTGAACAGGGTTCATATCCTTGCAATTGCCTGGGGGGAACAAAAGAAGGCCAATCATCCCTATTACATTGTCATGCAACCAGCGTGCTTTCCCAAAGCAGAAGTGGCTATACCCTTCCACGCTGGAAGGGGGCCCATTTTCTAGACAATCCAGAGATTCTTTTGAGGACCCAGGCAACGCAACTCAACACAGCATTGGCACAGAAACGAAACGACTCTCATGTCACAGTCTGGTGGTTTGTTGTCTCCCCTGCTGTGCCGACATGGACGTGGACATGCTGAGTAAAAAGGCTGGGCATTGATGAGACACCATGATGGGGAAGGTAGTTGACGATGTCGCCTAGCACTGACGTGTATGTTCAGGGCACTGTTTTGTCAAATACAAAACGTGCACTCGGAACGGGGATTTCCAACAAATTGTCACATGGATAGGTGCACGAAGCCGGTGCATCCTCGCCTGCAAGATGCAAGGGTTTGGAATTGTGTTGTGCCGTTGAAGCACAGTGATCTGAGTAAACAGGGAGTGTTGCAAGTTCACGCAAGAGAACATGCCAGTCGGCCTTCGTGCACTCCCCACAGTCATCTGCCGAAACGGAGCCAAATCGTGCTGTCGTGGCCGCTACTTTTTGGGCCGTCCTTTTGCCGCTGTTCTTCAATCTAGTCCCCAAGCTCGCTTGCGAAAAACGCTGGCGGTCAAGTCGCATCAATGAAGATCAAGGTAACCATACCGGAGCGTGGCGGCATCCTGCTTTTCTGATGTTGCAGATTTAATGGAATCGGACCCCAGAGGTGCTCCCTGGGGCGGGATCGCGCTCCTTGGATTCCTTGTTTTCTGGATGTGTCCTGCCCAGACGGTGCAGCGACCGGCAGCCTTGGAGGGAAGGAATTCCCTGGGTCTATTGCATGCGCCAAATCTGACTGGTCTAGGACAATCGACGTTGAACGGTCTCCTGTATTGCGGCAGAAGACCCTTAGGTATCCCCGCTGAAGAGTAGCTGATAGCGTCCTGGAATGCGAATGCGTGGCCGTTGAAGCGCGAACAATATCCGAAGCATCAGGTGGCTGGTGGCTTGGGAACCCTGATACATGCAGCCCAGGACGCAATGGGTCAGTCGTTTGCTGACGATGGCTCTTTTGATGACGGCCACGGCGACGCGCGAGGAAGTTGCATTCGCCTCCTGACGAAAGCAGATTTCAGTGCCCTCTACCATTCTATACTGCCAAGAGTCCCGCCAATTTTAGTGTCAGAGAGAAAGGATGGGAAATGGAGAAGGTTTCGGTTCCGTTGATTTTATAACACACTGTTGCACCTGCTTTTCCTGGTGAAACAGTGGCATGCAAAGGCAGTTCGAAACAACCTCAAGAAACAAAGTACGAGCAAACCAGAAAGGTATTCTTCCAGAAACGGCAAGCGAATACATGCCAACACGGGCTGTGGGTGCACATGGAAAGCGGTTGAAATTACCAAAAGCAGAGCTGGCGAAGTATGTGCGTCCCCAGTGTATCGCATATGCTGCAGTTACAGGGCGGCTCTAGGACCGGTGCTTGATGTTGATCATTAATTGGAATACGCCCCAAGCCCTCCTTTTTCTTAGATTGTATTTTTCGGTTGCGGGGTCGAAGGCTTTTATGCTCAGCACGCAGGTCAAACGCTGTAGGTGCACAACAGACAAGCCCTTCTTGCGCAAGCCGTGCTGCAAATGCTAAAATAACTTGACACGATGATAATTTGGAGAAACGCGCTGTGGGCAGCAAAAAACGACCTGTAAACGCGTAGAAAACGAGCTGTGCGCAAGTGGAGAAAAGTGGAATGCGTGCTCCCAAATGCCTCTCAGAAGCACGGGATCCTATTCTGGAGATCCGGCAAGCTATTGGGGGTGCCATGCGCATCCAGGATATGCCCACTCTGAATGAGTGAGATCCCGACAGGTCCATGGCCGGTGGCCAGGGAATTGCTACCACCATGTCCTGTCTGCATCATGGAATGCATGGCCCGGATGCAGCTTCTTCGACATCCAGAGAGACCCATCCTCTCGAACGGCATGCGCTTTTGAAAAACCGCATAGGTCGTTGCGTAAAATTCACCGCTCGGGTTCGGTCATGTTGAACGAAATTGTTTGTCCAATAGCGCAGAGCTTGGAACATACGCACCCTGTGCCGCGTGCCTAATCTTATGCGCATCGAGCCATTAACTCCTTTTCCTTTATGTTTGGAGGTGCATGTGGCCCAGTACGGTTCTGGATCGACTGTAGAAGACACCATTGAGTTGGAATGCGGCAGAGGGGAACAGATCCTGAGATGGGTGGGACATGCGATATGCGGCCAGCTCGCCTACAAACGAGGTGCCGATTCCAGGATCAATCAGCGGATAGTCGTGAGGCGCAGTGCGAGAAACAGACCCCCTCGGAGAGCAGATTTCTATTGCATCGGCTTGTAAGCAAGCAAGCGATTCTGTCTTCGACGTTTGTTGTGCATAGTGTACGATGTGACGATATGCCGACGCACAGGGCGCTGCCACCCCATCGATTCAGTGCAACACTCCAATTTGATCACGTGCCCAAATGTCGAATATAATTGGAAGTTGTCGTGACTGAACTTGCCTCCAGTTCTGTCCCGTAGAGCGTCGAAAGAGCCTCTCCGCGTTCATTTGGTAGTGATGCAGCAGTAGTAGTAATGGGCTGGTTCAAAAGCTGAACTGCAATCATCTAGATGCTCTCCCACTTGGCACTTCCGTTCGCGCAATCGACGCTTTGAGTTTGCCCTTTCGTGGAGTCTACGAGAGTGGGTTGGCACTGGAGGGAACTGGTAGGCCTAATTTGACCCGGGATGCATCCTTGTCCAGGGACACACGCCGCAATAAGTCGCATGCGCAGCGCCCTGCGCACGGAGGTGTAGATATCTCTCATTTATTGAAGAATGGCGAAGCTCCGCCTTTGCGGTTGCAAGGCGATGTCGGGCACCAGTTCCTGCACAACACGTATGGGCAGTTCGCAAACGGCATTTTCAATCCATATACGTCGGAACATTCGCTAACAAAGGCTTCTTCCCCAGGGGAAGTATGCGGAAGGTATGTTCCACAATCCGTCATGAAAAGGGACGGCCAGGTCATGGACGCGGACATCGTTCTCAATGAGCTGTTCAGCGACGGTGCGGAGCTTTGTGTGGAGTATTCAGACGGGCCGGTGGCCTACAGGGCAAGGTGACAGGCGTTGGCTGATGCTCTTGATGCGCAACCACACTTTCTGCTCTATTTACCTCGAGGACGCGGATCTACCAGCGCGATTAAGAGACAATGTGGGGCCCTTCGGTCTGCTGCGAAGCGCAGCAACTGATTGATATGCACCATTTGGAACATCGCGCACTGTGGTGTCCTACTGTGATCAACCTGTATAATCCTAAGCATCGACACCGCTGTGCAGTGGGCGAGCCGTTTAAGTTTCTAAATATTATCCGATCAGGCAGCGTCCGGTGTTGTTCATCTTTGCTGATCCGCAAAGAGCGCGCTGCACGCGGCACAGGTGGGAAGGCCGACCCAAGACGCCCCCCTTCAAGTGGGGAAATGACGGAGAGGAAGTGCCCGCCCACGACGCGTGGCTGGCGGAGTTGGATTTGAGGTTGGAGGGTCTTGAGGCCCTTGTGTCCCCTGAACTGGTGAAGAAGGACGAGTCCCATGGGGAGACGGACCTCGCAGCAGTGAAGAGCCTGCTTGTCCAGTACGCTGGCGGTCTGCAAGCAGCGTTCCTGTACTATGAGTGCGATGGGCAGAAGCCGCCAGATACCATGGGGAGGATGATAATGACGCAGTTCCGGGCTCTCATGCAGGTATTGCGATGGGATCGTGCCTGGTACTTTTATTGCATTGTGATGGCTCCATATTGTGCTGTTTGGCACGAGTATTCATGCTGCTGGTTTGAGTGCGTTTGCCGATGTTGCGGAGCGCTGTGTGGTATCTGCCGGGCGAAAGCGAAATGCGCAATTAGGTAACGTGTGCAACGTAGCAAAATGGTACCCAATCCGCACATGTTTGTTTCCAATTTTATTTTAAGTTTAAGTTTCAAATTTATTGCTTTAGCAAAACACTGACAGTTGAGACGTGTGTGTTCTGCTGGTCTGTTTTATCTTGCCCCTGGTTCAACAGTAGTAGAACTACGGGCACGGAATGGGCCCACGCATGCATTGCTAGGAAAACAGGGCAGGGCGTTTGCGGGTTCTGCCCTTGTGCGTTCAGCACATAATGACATTGTAACAAGGGCGGGGAAATCTCCCGGCCCTTGTCTTAAGGACATTATGTGAAATTTCATGTCTAGAAATGTAAATTTTATGTGCCGCTAAGAACATCTGCGGCAATGCTGCAAGCAATTGTAGCCATGTTTCCAACAGCGATCGTGGTGGCCAGAGATTAGGTGGACATCTTCATTGGTGCGTCTTTGATGACAGTTTGCTTTTGTGCCAGGCATCCAAGGCTGTGACACCTAAATTCACGCCTGAAAAAGTAGACGAAATATTCACGACAGTCGCAACAGGCTCTCGCTCGCTGGAACGCAAGGTCGATGCTACGGGCGCGTCTACCTTCGACTTGATTGATTTCTTTTTGGCCATTGTGCATACTGCCTATCACAGGTGCGTCAAGAACTCCTCCGGAGAGCTTGTGTTTCCTGCCGAGTGCGGGAAGCCTGTCTCACAGAAGTATCGTGTACTTTGGTATGACTTACGGTAGCACCGCGGCATTCATTTCTCTTGCAGTGTTATCGTGCATTTGCTTATCATTCATTTGCTGCACATTCTTCACTGTAACATTCGTCAGCTAGATGCCCGAGGATCTCTGCGTCAAATTCGTGTGTGGAAACACTTAATTCCTCATTAGCCACGTTTAAGATCGACTGCCACGCTGCGTGGAGTACTCAGGCAGTGAGGCACGAGAGTTTCAAAGCATCGATGGAGCGCTGATGCGGCCGTCAGCAGGTATGCGTGCGAATCTGGAGAGGACATGGCATCGTACTCCCCACTCTCCTCGAAGCTTCAGACGCTCATGAGCGACTGCTTCTCCGCGCGCGTCTTCCCGGAGCTCTCCAAAAAGATGGAGAAGTTTAAGGAGGCCTTCACAACGGGGACGGACATGCTGCTGAAGAAAGGCCGCCGACTCACGGAGCACACCTTGGCTTCCTGCCAGCTGAAACGCGTCAAGTCCGTGGAAGTCCGCGTGGGCCTCAAGTACTTGTGCAACCACCTTGCGAGGTGGAACCTGCTGGGAAGGGAGTTCAGCCTGCAGGATTTGGCCTACTTCACGATCGCTGCCAAGCAGCAGAGCGACAACCCCGAGGAGTTCGAGCTCCAGCCGCAGCCATTGGACCTAAACGCCAACGAATTCGAGAGGCTGCTGCTCTTCATGGCGCATTACATGTACCGCATGAAGAAGAAGCACGAACCGTTTGAGGAGTTTCTCGGGGAGACACTGGACGAAGTTTACAAGAAGTCCAATGTGCTGGTGGACATGAACAAGCTTGAAGATAACCTGTGAATTTTGGATTTGATCTTAGGCAGGGCCCAGCTGCGACCCAATCCACGCTTGTGGAGTGCATGAATCGAACAACAGGGAGCGTTGGAAGCTCGAAGAGGAGAGCAAATGTTTCTCTAAAAGATAGTGAGCTCTGGCATAAGGGGTATTAGCGGAGTCTTTAAGAGCGTTGGCTGCGCTTGCAGACGGCTGACCACATAACATCTGCGGGATTCGTGCTTCTTTGAGAAGTGTTGGCTCGTCTGCGAGGAATTTCAAAAACATCTGATGATGTTCCCAGCTAATGCACGCGTTTCGAAACTATGGATACCTATTCTTCCGTTCGCAGTCCCTTTAGCCACATTCAGCAACATTATCGATAGTGTCATGGCACGGCAGAGATTGCGTTTTCACTGAGCGTGCAGTATTCGCTTCCAATTTCAAAATATATCATCATGTGAGTGTTACAAACCCAAGATCGTCTGTGGATAATGTACGTGATTGTGCGCAATGAGTCGAATTATGAAGTAACACTATCCAGAACATAATATCTTACTCTGTCATGCCGCGTTGGGCCTCGAGGTCCGCACCCTGGTTCCGATTACATTGGGAGTTGCTCCCTACGCCACAATAGACATGTGAGTGGCAGCTGCCGGACATAATCTTCTGGATTCGCTGATGCCAATTTCAGGATGCCGGTGGCAAACGAGGACCCAAGGAGGCAGTTCGTTGTCAACTCCTTCGCCGAGGCCCTCTCTCCGTCACACCGCAAGGTTCTGGTGCTCTGGGATTTGCATCATGGCACACTATCTGCCATTCGCAGGGATACATGATACGTAGCCTGCACTGCCCTGTGTCATGAGGCCACAGTGCCTGCCTCGATTCGTCCTCAAGGGTGCCTCCCTGCTGACCCACGCGTCAGTGAAATGTGGCCTCCCTCCAAACTGCGCACCGGCCGAGCGTGCGGCCGTCGAAAGGCACCGAAACGGCCACGTGGACCTAATGCTACTGCCCAGATTTCTATCCGATTCACATAAATCCGGGGGCCTCCAAGGGCCGCTTGTTTCCGTTCCCCGTTTCATTGGGGAAATGCCAGGAGCCTGCCCAAAAGTTCTCAAAAGCGGGCGCCAGTCTCATGGTGTTCTCTCAGCCTTGGGCACTCGCCGTGGCGCATACGGAAATTAAGCTCCAGTGCTTTCCTCCAGAGCCTGGTTACGTCGAGATTGTGTTGCGCAGCTGAAATATTCCATCTGTCCTACAGATGGATGAAAATGCTTTTGGGGAACATGCCATTGTCCCTGTGCTCTCGGTTTCTCGATCGAATCGAGAACCCTGCTGCTCCAGATCCTAAGATCGACTGTATTTTCCCCGTCCTATTTGCGTCTCGTATCTGCTTGTCTATGTGTCAACGTCAATGCCACGTCCACATTCAGCAATAGCAAGTGCCCCAGCCATGATTGTGCTGCAATTAGGGCCGGTAGCGGCATCTTTGGAAGGCATAGCGCTGCCTTGGGTATTGCCATGCATGGATAATGGTGAACGAATTTCCGTGCAGTATTTCGCCTTGGCTGTGGCTAAAGTGATATCATGGCATGCGGCTCTCGACAGTGCTTAAAGTGCTCGTACGAAAATCGAGTATCCCATCAATACAATTTAGATATCAAGGCAGGGCGCAGCCGTCAGCGACCTATTCTCAGTTTTCCATTGAATCATACCTATTCCGAATCTCTCACGCGGTACGAAAGCTTGTAGCTTCTTGCATTGTGTTACTAGTTACGCTCACAATTCGACATAAAATAGAGCTGCATCAGTTGTCTGATTGTCCCCAGAAAAGTTCTGCATATCCATGCCATGGAATATTATATGAAAAATGAAAGTCAAATTCTGGCATATGACGGAAAAGTAAGCGAGGATGTGAGCATTCCGTGGAATATTCAACCCTTCAGCATTTTAAGATTTAAGCGTTACGACTCTTTCTCCTCATTTCTCAACAGACCGTTATTTTGGGGGGCCTGCATCATGGCCTCAACCGGAATGGCGACTCTTCTGAGTTCACATGCCTCAAATGCCAGTTCCTGGCACAGATCCCCAGACATCTGGGGCCACTAGACGCATCGAGCAGTCCAGAGGCCCTTGCGGCTGGCTGGGGTTGTTCCACACTTTATTGGCACCATTGCGTTTTCGTTATTGCTCAGCATAAAAAGCCAAACGTTACCCCATCACGCGCAAGGGCTTAACGTACTACGGCATCCCAGAATACGGTGTCCATATCACAGTATATGGCAGTCCCTAGTACATGGGCGCCCATGTCGAGGGATATGGCATCCCATATCCAAGGATGTGCAAATTTCCTGACTATGCGTCCAGGCACTCAGCTATGCAACGCGATATAACTGCAAATTCATCCGTTGCGCCTTAAGGCCACCTGGAAAAGCCTATCCATCTGCAGTAACCAGTACAGACGGCTCAGATTCGCGTTTTCTTCCCTGATTTTTTAATCGTGACTTCCTGGTTAAAAATCGTGCGAATATTGTTAAAAAATGGTCCATTGCTATACATGCGTCCTCAGACAATACTTATCATTTACTTACCAATTTTACATCACTTATTACACATGCATGCTTCTATGCTCCTTACTGCGCTCCCAAGTCTACCTAGTATGTTCCACAAGCGACTCTATAATGTATGCCGTTCATGAGCGAGCCATAACCTAGCCTGTCTATATTCAGCCGTGGCTGCTGCCGCCTAGAGCAGAAGCCATGCAGCAACTCACAACATGGAATCCTGTCACGCGTTAATCACCGACCGATTGAAATGAAGCTACAACCTGTAACAAATTGGCACCTGTTTGGAGATTGAACTTTATCCACCACTATTAAATATCAAATGCAAAAGCAAAAGCTCACAGGTATTAAATTATTTTGTCATATGTCCGTCTGAAAATAAAACTGCAGACTAACGGAAATCCTCGCAGCAGTCCCTGGCTCCAGGACTATTGTAGAGTGGTGGATGCAAATGAAAACAATAATTGCTGGAGCGCGCCCGAGCGATCTAGCAATTTTTATTCTTTGAGCGAGGCATCATGAGCGGTGTATGCGTAATCATTTTGTATATCTACTAAAGCACGATTTCTCGCAGGAATATGTTGTGCGACAACTCGAGGAGGACGTATCGGGGGCAATTTCTTCATTTCTTGACATCGCCTCCACGCCATTGCTTCAGGTGAGCTGAGGGTTATGCTTCATCATAGGCGGCACGTCTAAGACAAACGCCCCTGTATATGGATCATTTAGGCCCATTAACCGAAGAAGCTTTATTGAAGGTCTGATCCTTCGCCGGGTCCGCATCGTTCTTCCCATCCATCAGGTTGCGCGATTTAACAAAAATCTGATTCTGGCTTTATACCATCAATCCATCGCCTATCCGCTACAGGTGTACGTTGGCAGACACATTTATTAAAACACAACTCCTGTATCATAAGGTATCCACACGAGGCAAATCATAGCCAGTCGACACGCCGTCGCCGATACCAAACTATATGTCACTAGTGGAGGCGTGCACCTGGCTCTCGTAATGCATGTGTCGCTTTGCAGCATGCGCCTCAATTGGAGAGGTTAATGGTGTTCCATCAAGCTCAAATGTGAAATTTTGTTTCGCGGTAATAATATTTGCGTGTGGGAATAGAACGCCTCATGATTCATCACGAATGACTTCAATTGAAAGAATCCGCAACTTACTGCTGATGTCCTCCCAGGCGCGGGTCTTTGGGGATGGTATTCAGGCGGCCGTGGAGCTTTCGAACTCTGTGGATGGCGATGACCACAAGGGCCACAGAGTGAGTTCCTGCACCTGCCCACCATCAACGCGTTGTGGTATAGACGGTGAATTCGTCTCAAACGGTTGCAACTGCACAACTTTTGCAGATGAAAAGAAATTGGCCGGCTGAATGAGCGCCCATCAGCGCTCAATGTGAGTTTATGTGAATGATTTTTTTCATTCAGCTGCATCGAAAATGCCAACAAAGTTACAAATATAGGTCGAATCATATGGCAACTTTGACTCCATTCACGTCCTAACATTCGCCATAGAAGGGGGCTGTTGCATCTTTTAATGATAAAAAAAGATTTCTTCAAAGATTTCAGCCCCAGCTCTTTGCAGCGGTGTCACAATGGTGTGACTGGATTTTGCCTTCAATCCAGAGTTTGAAATATGTTGGGTATGGGTATATCGATATTTAATCAGTTTCGAATCGCCGTTGCCTGTGCTGCTTCAAATGAATTTGTCCGCTATTCTTGGCCATTGAAACGGCCTACCTGACGTCTGCGTTGAACTATTGCGACGCTGTGTGCGATGCAGCTTCTCATGGTGAAGGTTCGACAAGCGCCCATAGTACTGGATGATATTCCAAGAAACATTATGGTTTTCTCACTGGGCCACTCTCCGGCAAGGAGGTGAGATATTTTGCGCATCATGCAGCACCAAAACCCAGTCTTGCTTTGAAAAAACTGCTAGAAGAAGTCGTACTCAAATTTTCCTGAGAATTGAACATATGACATGACGACAAGGATCCTGCTGTACTTTGATAATTGCAGGGGAATTCCCTCGTTCTTAGATGCATGTAGTGCATTTGGAATTACATAAGTCTCCATTCTGATAATAGGATGATTTGCTAATTTCGTGGAGGTGGTTGATGATTTCCAACAATTTCTAGAGCCTTGCGATCAGCTAAAATGCAGGTTTGTACAAGGCAAGGCCGAACCGTGGATATTGCCATTATATTCACCGTGGGTTTGTTGTCGATACGATGTTTAAATCATCGATTTAGTAAATCCCATTGGTGAGTTAAATTTCAGTTGACCTTGTTTATTCAATCAATGCTCAAGCCCCAACACATTCGTTGCTTCAATCTCTTTTGGCGCTTGGATACACCCGGCGTTTTGTCGCAACATTTAGATGCCAAATTCTGTGCTTGGCGAAATTAATGTGACATCTCTGCTCAAGACTGGCACCCTCTAATTTGCAAG